TCCCATGCTAGAATGTGGAAGGACAAATAAAGAAGAGGTTGGGTTGAATGGCAGAGTGTAGAATGTGGATGAAGAATGTTAAAATTCTGCCTCAAACAAATTCCTTTTTACAGTAGACAATATATTTTTACTTTTATTCACTGCAGAAGGAACTGATTTTATCAGTATTATAGAAACAAACAGTCATCTCATAGGAGGCTTAGTGTATCTACCAATGACAGTTCTATATTCTCAAAGCAATTATGTAATCGTGTTTTTGTATGCTAAGTATTTCTCACCTTTCTCTATCACATCTGCACTCTACACAAATTTAATATTTCAAACCTACTTCCATCTCTTCCAGGCTAACAACTGTTAGAATTTATGACTGATGATAACACATTAACACTTATATAGTGATTTTTTTCTAAAACTGAACTTTTGCTTACTTGTACAGTAACGCAAATAACTTATCTCATCCACCTCTCAAGCCAACTGTGTATGTGTCATATTTAATTTCTTATTTATTTATGAATTATGTTCTCATTTCTGTCAGTTGCACTAATGAAACTTGAATCACAAGGGCTTGATAACATATAGTTAATTCTGTGGATTTCTTCATTACTGAATTGTTAAAGATTTATGTAGCCAAAATACCTCCTGGACTCTCTAAGCCTTTGTTCTTGACCCAGTTATTAGTTACTTTGTCTGAAGATGAACAGTCAAAGAAAATCTAAAGTAAAAGAATGTATAAAATGAGTGAAAAATGTTTTTGTTCAAACAAATTTGCCAGCAAGAGCACTTACAGTCTGCTGAGTCTTTAACTAGAGTACACTGTATAAAAAAAGTCTGAGATGAGTCCTGTCCTACAGAATATGTATCACTTGCTTGGAGGCCTAACTAATACTGGGTGTGTACTATATATATGTATTAATAAAAGATTTCAGCATTTATCTGGATGCCTATAGACACTAGTGGGTAGTTTGTCATGAGGACCTGATCTGAGTGATCTTTGGCATGAACAGGGATGAGTTCTCAATAAAGAGAATAATTCAGCCCAGCCTGACATTTTTGTTGAGTTAATTAAACTGGAAGGAGGAAAAGAAGAGCAGTGAGGGCAGAGGATGGCCAGATTCTCCAGTTAGCAAAGATTTTCCAACCTGTGATTGATGTTTCTCTGGACATTGACCTGCTAGCAACTGCCTTGCCAGGTTGACTGAACATTATTGTTACCTGATATGACTGAATGGTCATCCCATATCAGTTGGCAGCTTTAGCCAACATTATATATTTGTAAACATAGTTATGTAGCACCGTTCTAGGTAGGTTGCTAGGATGTACATAGTCTAGTTTAGTATAATGTGGTCTCCTGTTTAACAGGTAGAAGGTAAAACATAGCAGCTTCCCTGCTTAACAGAAAGCTACAATTGTTTAGTGAGAGCTCCTGTGTGGCTACTGCTGTGATTTTCTCCACTGTATCCAGGAGACCTTGAAAAGTTCTGGGTTAACAGGAGTGACCCATGCAGGTCAACAGCATAATTATGGATGCAGTTCCAGCCAATTATAGGGAGTGGTGCCCCTGATAATTCTGTGTGCTAGCATTTATTTATATTTAGTGAACACGTGATCTGGGTTCTTCGTCTTTTCATGAGAAGGGTGTTCCAGTCAGGAGACGTGGCTGCCTTCCTGGCTCATGCTGCCAAGAGACTTTGGGAGAGCGACCCCAAAGCTAGAATGCTGAAACCCAAGGTGCTTCTGAGAGCTGACTGAGGGGGATGTCTACAGACCTTTAAGTTTAGACCTTTCTTCAAGCATAAGACTTGACCCACAAAGTCACCACCTTTTTCAATTGGTGGTTTCAAAAACGTACAAAATAGAGTTCAAAATTCTACTCCCTCAATGCTTTCTTTCATTAGAATATTCAAAATGCGCTCAAAGACAGATTTTCAGAATTCCCTGAACCATCTCTTATCCTAGTAGTGCCAGTGCACCTACAGGATAGGTTCAACAGATTCTATTCCAACCTGTTCTGCAAAATAAAGCAAGAGAAAAAAACCCCTTTTGATTATCATTGTGCCCAGAGGAACCCAGTATGAAGACATACTAAGACTACTAAGAGATGACCCCTGGCCTCTTCCCAAGGACTAGACCTGCTGTCTCAGGGCCCTCTGTTCCATCCTGCTTCTCAGCCTCTGGCATTGGCATGGCCAAGAGACAGTGGGTCTCTGAGTCTGTCCTACCTTAGTAAAAGCAAGACAAGCCACTTCTAGAAAGTTCTACTATCGTATCTGAAATCTTTTATTGCTTGGTGTAAGCACAGGCACTTTAATCCCAGAGATTTGTCTGCTCCTTGCATTCTGACCTTCCTACAGTCAGGTCTTGATCAGAATTTATCAAACCTTATGTCTTGATCAGAACTTATCAGGTCTTATGTGCTCTGAAAGGACAGGGTTTTTGACCCTATCTATTGTATTTAAAAAAACATTATTTTTGCTCTCCCTTGCCAAAACCTTTATTCAAGGTGTATCTCACATCAAGCCTCTCTTGCGGTACTTTATGCTTTCTTGGAATCTTAACTTGGTTCTCTATGACCTGAAGAAACCACTCTTTGAATCCATCAGGGTAATCCCCTTAGATAACTTCCCCTTCAAACTGGCCTTCTTGGTTGCTATGATGTCTGTTAGATGAGTCTCTGAGTTAGCGACTTTCTTGTAAGGAGCCATTTCTCACAATGACAAGACTTTTTTCTTCCTAACGTGGTATCAGTCTTGAAGACATAGTCTTGCCATCATTATGATCTGCTCCAAAGCACCCTAAAGAAATTGATTTTCACTGCCTGGACGTAGACAAAACCATCAGAGTCTACCTAAAAGCAATAACTTCTATCAGGAAGATAAATAGATCCTACCCTCAGTACATTGCAAGGGGCATCCTGTTTTCACATCAACCATCTCTAGATGGATAAGACAACTCATCACCAGAACTTACACTCTAAAGGACAAAGCTCCTTCTTCACTTTTATGCGCACCCGCCACCAGTTTGGTGATTGTTTAATTGGTATTCCAGCACCAGGCCTCCACTGCTCAGCTTTATAAGGCCGACACCTTATCCTCCGTTCATACCTTTACAAAGTTCTACTAAGTGGTTGTCCCATCTCCTGCAGAAGCAGCTTTTGGCCACAAAGTTCTTTCTGTGGCACTCTGAAACTTTGTCGGTTGACCCATGTTGTTGTTGTTGGGTCTGCTGGCACAGTTCTGTTTGACTGGTTGTTGTCCACCCTTCTCATTGATTGCTTGGGGATGTCCCAGGGTCTGTGAATACTCATCTTGTATCTTGGACTGTACAATTAAGATAAAAGGAATTTTTACCTGTAACTTTCATATCTTGGAGTACAGTACAGGACACTGGCAACCCTCCCTTCTATTTCTGCGTATTCTGCATTGCTTGATACAAATCTGAGGACGCACAGAGTGAGGTAGGGTTAAGGGGGGACACCTAGGGGACTTGTCTACTAAAGCTTGTCAATAGTAATGTGCTGAACACCCCCCTGATCAGTTCGCGGTCGAACATTAGAACCTAACAAAAGTTCAACTGTGAACTTAGAACCGTGACAATTCACTAAGTGGTATCTTACTGCATTCGAGTGTGCAGTAAAATACTGCACAACATTTTAAAAAAAACTACTAAAATACAGCATGAGTTATTTTATTAAGTTATGCGGTATTTTAGTAGTGAAAACAGGCTTTAAAAACCCAACTTTTTACTGAATGTAAAAAGAATTGCTGGTAATTAAAAATTTTGCAATATAGAACAGCATGGGCCCCCCATTCATACCAAGGATTTTGAGGAGAACCCCCATGACAAAATTTAAAAAAAAATGGTGTGGGGGTTCCCCCAAAATCCATACCAGACCCTTATCCAAGCATGCAGCCTGGCAGGTCAGGAAAGGGGAGGGTCAAGCGAGCACCCCCCCCTCCTGAACCATACCAGGCCACATGCCCTCAAAATTCCCTCCCCAAAGCACCTTGTCTCCATGTCGATGGGAACAAGGACCTCTTTATCACAAACGTGGCTGGTGGTTGCGGAGGTCTGTAGGCAGGAGGCTTATCAGAATCTGCAAGCCCCCTTTAACAAGGGGGCCCCCAGATCCCAGCTCCCCCCCATGTGAATGAGTATGGGGTACATGGTACTGCTACTCATTCACAAAAATGAAAGTGTAGTGTAAAAAATGACAGTAGACATTCTTTGACAAGTCCTTTATTAAAAACAAAAATAAAAAAATGTCCCTTGAAGTAGATCCAACATCAGTCATGATGCCCGCCGCCACCACTGACCCGAAAAAAAAAAAAAAAAAGGCTCCTATCTCAACACTGGCTCCCAGCTGTCTGACCACTGTGCCGGCCTGACAATGCCTAAATATATAAGGGGCGGGGCCCCATGGTGATGTCAACCAAGTGACCCCACCCCCTTGCGACATCATCGTGTGCTGTGGTTGGCCAAAGCATTGCACCTGACCTGTGGTCAGGAGCATTGCTTTGGCCAATCACAATGCACTGTCAGAGCGCAATGCATTGTGGGGTGCGCAGGCAAACAGCCTGCCGAATGCCCTTACTGTTTGCCAAACACATGAACGGCCAATGTTCGAGTCGAACTTACGTTCGACTCAAAACATCAAGCCTAACACTACTTTTCAGTGTCTAATCACCTGATGATACCAAACTATAATCCACGGTCTGTGAATACTCAGCCTATATAATGTACTATACTCCAAGCTATAGAATATACATGTAAGTCAAAGTTTTGTAGCTGTTTCTGTCCCCGCTGTGGAAATTTCCCACCACTTTTATCCCCCTGTCCACCTTTCACTGGAACAGAAAGTATTGGGAAATCTCCTCACTGGGGAGACAGATGGCAATAAAAACCAGAGAGAGGTTCTATCATTTTGCTGTGCTATATAAGACAAAAATAAAAGTTTTGGCTGCAGTTAAGATTTAGTTGACTTTTTCATTTTTTTTTGCAGGAAGTTTCTGAAAATACACTGTCTTCAGACCGGTCTGTGGGCTGTAGGCCGCTGCATTCCTATCCTGTGTGAGCCTTTGCCCATTATTCTCCAGGGAATGTACAACTGTACCCGTGGACTAGAGGTGGACAGCAAATGTACCTTGTACTGCACATCTTACACGGTATGATCTACATACCATTTCAAATGGATCATTATCTGTAATCGTGCCAGGAATAGTAATTTTCAGTGAAGTGCGCTTCATATTGCAGTGTTACTGATAGAATATTCAATATGCATGGATTGCTTTAAAATGTATTTCTGTACTTGGTTTTATAACCTAAAAATTACAAATTAAGATACTGTATATATAAAGGTAAATCTTTTTTTTTTTGTTTTGGATGGTGTACAGGAGGTTAAATCCACTGCCATTTGTTTGTTATCTGTGTATGTATCTTTCTAATGCGAGGGAAATCCCCTGTTAGACAATTGTCCCTTCTGTTCCTGTTATCAGGAATGGGAAATCCAAAATTTTAGTGTTCCTCTCACTTTCATTGTCACTAACATTGGTGATCAGGGCACATAGCACTTGATTATTAACATTTTCTTACTGACTTTCTTACTGCAATTTGTTGTAGTTATAAAAAAACTCATAGGTCTGATATAAAGGGAGATTATACAAAATTTTCAATATGTATACATTTTAAATTACGATGGTAACATTTGTACAAAAGTATGTTTTTTCATTAAATCACATATTTTCTTGCTTGTTGTTCAATATTTTTAGTCATTTTAGTTCATATACAGATTTGTAAATGTTCCCACTGATGATCATCTTTTTATCAGATAATATGATTATTAATTCTGCCTAAGGACTATTGGGATAAACATAGTTAGGGTGACTATAGACAGGCAAGTTTTTACCTTCAATTCCATCACTACTTGGGCTAATCTGTGAACTGTCTTTGACTTCCTTAGCAGAATATAGCTGGCTTATGATTTGTTTTTTCTGACTTTCAAATGGTAGGGTCCAACAGACACACTTGAGCTGTCAGGATGGAGGGATCGACTTGCTACTCTGCATATCAGTGAAAGTCAATTTTAGCCATTTTTTTCCCTCTTTTTTGTCCATGATTTTGGTGATGGCTCTCCCTGATATTAATATGAGGGATTCAAGGGAGAGGATGTGCCTGATCCTTTTTCCATAGGAGCCCCTTAGTTTTCTAAAAGGAGGGAGAGGACAATTGACCTCTCAACTGCTCAACTGTCCCTGTGTAGATGTTTTCTGTATGAGAGAGGTGCCTGCTTTTGGATTTCTAGTTCTGCCTATCTGCCACAGTGAGTACAAAACGTTCTTATTCCTCTTGTTAGGACAAAAAGGAAATAGTACATTTAGTTGGTTTCCCAGAAAAAAAATGGAGAATGTGGTGGTACAGCTGTATGTATGACCTAATTTTTGAGCAACAAATAGCTCAACTCTACATTTACCATTTGATGGCACTGCTGGGCTATCCCTTCCTGCATAAGAAGCCTGGGAATTGAGGTGTTGAGCCAGCAGTCTGACACTAGTTCTCTGATAGCAGATCAATAGGCAGCACTTTCATGTGTTAAACAGAGAGATGCAATTATGACGTGAAGAGGAATTTTTGTCAGCTGTATCACCAACAATGTGCTAATGAAATCTGCCACACCTGCTTCACTCAGTAATTAATGATTTAGATCGCATGCTAAACCTGACCCCTGTCAAACTTTTCTTCTCTTGCTGCAATACTGGTCTTCACATCTGTGTTTCTGTGTGGGCTAGTGCAGCAGGTAGAATGGGCCTCATCTGGTGCCAATGTCAGAAAACGAATCTGTGATGGTTGGCTTTCTCAAGGACTGCTGTAGACCTTTTCTGCATGTCTCTGAATTACTCCTAGATTCTGTAATTTTATAACAGGGCAGGAAAATGTATATCCTGACAAAAGTCAATGGCCTGGCATGACCTGATTCTCTCAAGGCTGAAGTCTAGTAAAGTAAACCTGTGTGCATGTCAAACCTCCAAACATGTGCAGTGGAATTACCTTACCATGACTGGGTGCTTGAAGTTAATGCTGCTTTTTCGCTTTACATTTTAGTAAACTATCCCTATTTCACAAACCATGACCAGTAAGGCCCCTAACATAGGTTTTCCAATCAAGTTCACCTGTCAGTTTTCAGATGGACCTGATCGTAGGATCTATGCAAGTTTATGGGAAGGTGGATGTAAATGGATGTGCGTCTGTTTACATCCTCCTACCTCAAAGTCCGCCCAAGTCTGAAAACAAAAAAACAGAAAAGGACTGCATTCTTCTCCATTTTCCTGGACCTTAATGGGATGGATCAGAGGTAGCCTGATGTAGCCCATAGATCCAACATGGGTTCACAAACATCTGCTGTCAAAATGTGCATAAAAACTAAATGGGGCATGGATGTCAGAATTTTAAATCTATCCCATTCTGCTCTGACTCAGCAGAGGATTTGTACAAGGATCCCCTGATGAATGGAGCGGAGTACACCCTTAAAAATGAACCCTTACTTTGGGAAACTCCTAACATCAAAATCCCTGAGACATGAGAAGCCAGCAGAAGACTTAAAAAGACTTGATGGCATCTACCAAAAACTGAAACCACAGTTTTGCATGGGCTGACCATTTCTGTCTCTTTTTTTTAGGCCTGTTCATTGAAGAAGTGTCTTTTGCTTCACATCTCAATGCTTTGAACACCATCTGTATTTTAAATAGTTTATGGGATTTAGTAATCAGTAATCAAATTACAAGGGCCCGCCCTGACCTTGAAGTTTACTGCAAGGTGTTGTTACAATCTACCTATAATGTTTTTTTTCTCTGTGTCAGAAAAACAGCTCAGCTCTATTACAATGACACTGTAACCCCAACCTCACAGTTAACTTAATATTCTTGCCTGTCTTGTGAGCAGTTTACGTTAAGTAGTGATGAGCTGAAAGGCCCCTGGGTTTTGCAATTCTTGCAGGTGCAGAAAATAGGATAATACAAAATGTGTTATTTTCCCAAATTGCTCATCCAGCACAAACTGTTACTTTTTCATATTTCGAAAGAAAAAAAAGATCTGATCAAGTCCTCTATGTACAGCACAATTTAAAAATAGCTATTGCAAAGAGTGGTATTCCTATGCTCCGGTAATATAACTAATTTTGATTGTGTGCAGATATAGTCACATTTCATTTTAACAGTGAAACATAATTAACACCTAATTAAGTTGATTATCTGTGACAGTGATGAGAGTGTTGGAATAAATTTGTTTTTCACACCTTTGGTAGAAGTGCTTAGTTCACAATGTGCTGAACGAGATTTTTAATTGAACTTTGTGTCCCTTGTCTGCTTTAAAACAATCAGTCATTTAAATTTTTTAAATTGGATTGCAAGAGGTGCCGTTTCACAAAAGAAAGTCTAACACACAGGTCAGCATATGCGCCCTTTAATCTTTCTTTTATATTTTAGCTGGGAACACACCTTGATTTCGAATGATCTGTATAGGAAGGTCACAAATGGTCCAATATTTGCACACTGTGGAATGGATTTGAGCATCGCTTGTAATGATGAGGTTAGGCTGGGCTGTGTATGGGTTCCCTTGAGGAGAGTTTTCCCATTGCTAAGAGGTCCCTATTTTAGTACACAGAAATGTATCTGTTCTTTGGAAAAAAAAAGTAATGAGATTGTCACCTGGTGCTAGAGGATGTTGTGTTTTTATTGCGTTTATATTTAAATTTCTTTTAATTATGATTGGCCTACTTAGAGGATGTTTATAGAACAGGAAGTGAGGGGAAATCTTCTGAGTGGATACACGAACAGCAAAGAATAAACTGTTGGATCCATCTTTTTTTTCTCTACTTATTACGTGCTTGTATTGCTATATAAAAAAGACTTGTTGTGATAGGCATAGACATTAGCAAGATTTGTAAGATTAAAGAATATAAAAGTGTCTGTGCTGCCCATAGATCCCAATATTTTGATATGCTTCCTTGGACTAGTGTTCACCTTAAAGAAGCACTGATTTCTGAAAGCAGTGTTCAAAAAAGGCTTCCCAAGGGCTCGTTCTGCCTGGTCACCAAATGTAAGCATGGATATATAGAAGCACACACCAGATGACTCCCAAATCTATGTGTATCACAAAGGCTTCAGCTTTGCCTCCTCCCAAGAAATGCCTCTCTAACGCATTTCACCCACTCATGGGCTTAGTCATAAAGGTCTACAACTGAGCCGTGAGCTGGTGAAATACATTAGAAGAGCATGGCTTAAGAGCAGGCAAAGCTGAAGCCTTTCTGATACAGATATAATTGAGAAGCTCTCTGGTGTACTATTTATTCTTTTTAAAAGTTTATGTGATTTGTGTTGTGCATTATGAAATCAGGTTAGGATGATTCTGGCATTGCTATTGTCTTTCGATGTGTGTGTGTGGGGGGAGCTCTGTATATGGAGGGCCAAGGTAATGTCACCACACTACTATTCTCCAGGCCCCATCAACGCAGCCAGCAAACATCATAATACCGTATCACCAGTCCGGACAAACTACCTGCCTTGGCTTTATCATACTGTGCAGCATATACTCTGTTGCCCATACCAGCCCTAGGTAGGCTGAATAATACAGTACATAATTAGTGGTGTGATTTTTATTACTAGATGTGATGATGTGAGCCTGGGAGGAGGTGAAAGAAGCCAAATAGTCTGTAATTGCATTTATGCTATAAATATGGTAAAATGATGAACGCAGGCCAAATATAGTACATCTTAGGTTGTTATATTATGTTATTCTGAAAATGTTATGAAAGCAAACTTGCTTTTTATGGTACTTATTTGCTTATGTTATAAAGGCTATTGACTGAGCATTCTGCCTATGTATGAATATCAATTATGGCAAATCTATAGGATAAGATAAAATCTTGGACAAAATCTGTTGCATTTCTGAATATGCAGAGATAACCTGATTATACATGCTCTTTTCTGTTATTTGCAGTGTGCATCATTAGTGGATGTTGCTTGCCATCACCCTTACAGATGATTTTATAGCCATGACCGTGCTGCCTACATGAGAACAGATCTCTTACTAACAGCAAGGAATGATATAATAGTTTTTCCTCTTTTAAACACTAGCCCTTTTCTTTTTAGTGTGGAAGGTTTTAGTTTTGTCT